AGCAGGGAGGAGGACCCGAGTAAAACCAGGGCCCCAGGGCACACCCCTGAGCTGCAATACACCCCCCCGTCGCCCGTCCCGAGTCGCCTCCTCACAGTTCCTTGAAAGTGAATGAGAATGTGAACCTTCACTACGGGATACCTCCCCTTGAACAACGAGCACCCCATGGTGGGAGCCTCGTGCTGATAACATAACCGCCCTCCAATCTTACGGCTATGAGCAGCAGCATCAAGACGCAGGGTCGCCAAGGTCAGCGAAGTGCCCCAGGCGAAAGCCACATGTTTCAAAGGAGCCGCCCTCCGTCCGTGCAACCGCCCCATGGATATCAACATTGGAACAGAAAGCGCGGGGGAAGCACAAGCGGGAGCCCCATTTCGAACAAGAGCCGCCCGCCAGACCAGACTCGCAATAAACACTCAAGTAGTGACCACCCACGAGGCAGTTGTTACCAGACTGTTCAAACGAACGTGCGCGGCGACAAGGCAAAAGCAAATTCTTGAAGGGATAGGGACGGGGAAGGCGGACACCCAAGTGGCCAACCCACTGCCCAAGAAAATAATGCCAGCCACACCCGATGCTGAGTCAGCCGCGGGTAGGCCGGGGCTGGCTCCGAGGAGCCGAAGTAGGCATGAGGAGGATACGTATCGCGACGCATCGCCGCAAGCGACACACGCCGCGGAGTGAGGCGAGGAACCCGCCTGAAGAGGAGGCCCCTGCAACGCGTTGGCGTGCGAGGGCCAGACATGCTGGGCCAGAAGCCTGGCGGAGCCAGCGGCGCGCGTGGAGAGCGCGGCGAACAAGGCGCCGCCGCGAGACACTGCGTGCGCGAAAACGGGAAGCTACCAGCTACCGAAGCCGCGGGCGGGGGGCGGGGACTCACAGGAGCTGCTCCAGGGCGTTCTTGCCCGTGGCCAGCTCGGCCACGACTATGCCGAGCGTGGCGAACATGGCGGCCCTGCCGTTGTTGAGCTCCCGGTTCTTCATGTCCTCGGACTCGCCCAGCGGCTCCCCGACGCCCAGCTGCAGGGGGTTGCCGAAGTCACCGATGGAGTCCACGCCCTTCGCGGGGTCGTCCCTCCAGATGGTGAGCTCGAGGGCGCCAGACACCAGCACCAGCGCCGCCAGGCCCTCTGGCGCCGAAGCCACGGCTCCGAGGCCCTTCGGCCCCTCGCCCGGAAGGAGAGCCTGGACCACCGCGCCCACCGACGCCATCATGGCCACGCGCCCGTGCTTCAGCTCGGCGGAGCGCAGGTTGCGGAAGCCCTCCTCGTCGCCGACCTTGCAGAAGCCCAGCGGGTCGAAGAAGCCCAGCGGGGCCATGGCCCCCAGCTGCTGGGCCGGGTCGAACGGCGGCGGCGCCTCCTCCTCATCCGCGGGCGCGGCCGCGGGCACGGCCGCGGCGGCCGCCCGCGCCGTGCGGGCGGGCCTCGGGCGCGACGCGAGGCGCGGGGCCACCGCGCCGACAGCGCCGGCGAGCGCCAGCAGGGGCCCCGCGCCGACGCCAGCCTGCGCCCCCGGGGACGCCTCCTCGGCCGCCGCCGCCGCGCCGCGGAGAGCCAGGCGGCTGGCCGCGGGCTGCGGGCCGAGCGCGCCAGGGACGAAGGACTCGGCCAGCTGGTACCCGCCCCCAGCCACCGCCGCAGCTGCCACCGCCGCTCCGAGGGCCGTCTTGCCCATGGCCCCGAGGGTAGGCGTATGGTGGGCTGGAAGGACGCCCGAGTGGCCCACGTAGGCCAGGCTAGCTTGAGCTAAAAAGGCTACGGAGGAGGACGACGAGGAGGCGGAGGATCATCGGGCCCCGGCGGCACACGTCATCAGGGGGGTCGTTGTCTTTATACTAGTCTGCGACGACAGAATCAGGGCTGGGAGCAGGGGGAGACCCGCGAGTAAAACCAGGCCCCAGGGCACACCCCTGAGCGCATACACCCCCCAGTCGCCCGTCCCGATCGCCTCCTCACATTCCTTGAAGTGGATGAAGAATGAGAACTGCATACTAACGGGATACCTTCCCCTGAACGGGAGCCCCCATGGTCGGAGCCCCGTGCTGACAACATAACCGCCCTCCAATCTTCCGGCTATGAGCAGCAGCTATCAAGACGCGAGTGTCGCCCAGTCAGCGAAGTTCCCCAGGCGAAGCCACATGTTTCAAAGGATGGCCGTGCCCTCGTCGTTGCAGCCGCCCCATGGATATCAACATCGTGAACAGAAAGCGCGGGGAGCATCAGCGGGAGCCCCATTTCGAACAAGAGCCGCCCGCCAGACCAGACTCGCAATAAACACTCAAGTAGTGACCACCCACGAGGCAGTTGTTACCAGACTGTTCAAACGAACGTGCGCGGCGACAAGGCAAAAGCAAATTCTTGAAGGGATAGGGACGGGGAAGGCGGACACCCAAGTGGCCAACCCACTGCCCAAGAAAATAATGCCAGCCACACCCGATGCTGAGTCAGCCGCGTGTAGGCCGGGGCTGGCTCCGAGGAGCCGAAGTAGGCAGGAGGAGGAGACGTATCGCGACGCATCAGCCGCAAGCGACAGCACGCCGCGGAGTGAGGCGAGGAACCCGCCTGAAGAGGAAGCCCCTGCAACGCGTTGGCGTGCGAGGGCCAGACATGCTGGGCCAGAAGCCTGGCGGAGCCAGCGGCGCGCGTGGAGAGCGGGGCGAACAAGGCGCCTCCGCGAGACACTGCGTGCGCGAAAACGGGGAGCTACCAGCTACCGAAGCCGCGGGCGGGGGGCGGGGACTCACAGGAGCTGCTCCAGGGCGTTCTTGCCCGTGGCCAGCTCGGCCACGACCGTGGCCAGCGGGCGAACTGGCGGCCCGGGCCGTTGTTGAGCTCCCTGTTCTTTCATGCCCCTCGGACTCGCCAGCGGCTCCCGACGCCCAGCTGCAGGGGGGTGCGAAGTCACCGATGGAGTTCCACGCCCTTCGCGGTGTCGTCCCTCACAGATGTTGAGCTCGGAGGTGCACGCCATTGCCCTCAGACGCCAGCAGCCAGCGGGGGGCCGTCCAGGCCTCCTGGCGCCGAAGCCACGGCTCCGTAGGCTCCTTCGCCCCTCGCCCGGAAGGAAGCTGGACCACCGCGCCCAACCGACCCATCATGGCCACGCGCCGTGCTCTAGCTCGGCGGAGCGCAGGTTGCGGAAGCCCTCCTCATCGCCGACCATTTCGGGCTGGGCGAAAGGGGGGGATGGCAAAACGGGGGTTTGAGAATCAGCTCACGTAGTGGTGATCAAGAATGGCCTGATTATCCTAGCGTCCCTCCCGGCCGCTGGAGGCGGGCAATGTATCGAGGAATGGGTCCCCTCGTGGGCCGAACCCGCTGCCTGCAGCAATTTTGTAGAACCCCCCGTTTCCCTTATCCCCCCATCCCGCCCCTTTCGTCCGGCCGGCGTAAACCTTGGTCAGAAGCCCAGCGGGTTCGAAGAAGCCCGCGGGGGTCCATGGCCCACCAGCTGCTGTGCCGGGTCGCACGGCGGCGTGAGCCTCCTCCTCCTCCGCGGCGCGGCCGCGGGCACGGCCGCGGCGGCCGCCCGCGCCGTGCGGGCGGGCCTCGGGCGCGACGCGAGGCGCGGGGCCACCGCGCCGACGGCGCCGGCGAGCGCCAGCAGGGGCCCCGCGCCGACGCCGGCCTGCGCCCCCGGGGACGCCTCCTCGGCCGCCGCCGCCGCGCCGCGGAGAGCCAGGCGGCTGGCCGCGGGCTGCGGGCCGAGCGCGCCAGGGACGAAGGACTCGGCCAGCTGGTACCCGCCCCCAGCCACCGCCGCAGCTGCCACCGCCGCTCCGAGGACCGTCTTGCCCATGGCCCCGAGGGTAGGCGTATGGTGGGATAGCAGGACGGCCGGCGGTGCCCGTGCTGAAGCAGCTGCGGAGCAGGAGGCTGCTCGGGACCCTGGCGGCGCATGTCAGAACGAGAAGGCCGAGGAGCCTTAACACTGTCCCCGAGTGCACGGCAGCCACAATGGGGCCCTCAGGTGCGGATATGTGCTGCAGCTGTCGATTGCGCCTGCTGCCCTGTCTTGCCCCGTGCTGCCCTGTCCTGCCCCCTGCCCCCGCGTGCCCCACCTTTTCCTGCCGCCCCCCTGCCTGGCACAGCATTGCATGCCGAGCCCTCCTCTGCCTTGCCCTGTCCTGCCCTGCTACGACACGCCCCACGTCCCGTTGGCCACCGGCCACCCTCCAACGGCCCACCACCCGCGAGCCGCGCCCGATGCGCCCGCGCCGCCCGCGATCCGCGCGTCCCTGCGGCGGATTCACGCCGCGATGGTCTCGGCCGTTGGTCTCTGACTGAGCGTGAGCCGTTCAGCCTGAAACGATCGCGGCTCTTCCACAGCGCAGTGCGTTCGACATCCGCCGACCGAGGGCCTCCGGCCGCATTCGACCCCGAGCGCCTGCGCTGCGGGTCGCCGCCGCATGCAGATCGGCACGACCCTGCCGTGCTTTGATCCCCAACTGCGAGAGCCTGCACCATCAGTGGGGTTGCTGCACTCCGACTCGTCTGCAGAAAGTGAATCGGAGGTCACACGAGGACTAGGTGTCAGCCTCCTCCCCACCTCCTCCATTCGCCGTCCTCCTTCTCCTCCTCATGCCCATCCTCCTCATCCTCCTCATCCTGCCCCTACTCATCCTGCTTCTCTGCCCCCTGCCTCCTCGACACCCCTCCACTCCGCCACCTCCCTCTGCATCCCCCTCCTCATCATTCTCCCCCTCCTCATATTGCCAATCCCTCGCCTCCCTCCTCCCGATCCTCCAGCCCACACGATATTTCACCCTCCTTTTCCTCCTCCGTCCTCTACCTCCTCCTCCTCCGCCTCCTCCTTCTCCTCCTCCTCCCCCTTTTCCTCCTCTTCGCCTCCTCCTCGTCATATCCTCCTCATACCTCCACCCGAGTCATCATCCTCATCATCTCCTCCTCCTCCTCCTCCTCCTCCTCCTCCATCCCTCTTCCCACCTCCTCCTCCTCCTCCTCATCCTCCTCCTCCTCCTTCCTCATTCCTCATCCTCTTCTCTCAGTTCTCCTCCTCCTCCTCCGCCTCCTCCTCCTCACCTCCTCGCATCCTCGCTCCTCCTGCTCCTCCTCCCCCTCCTCCTCCTCCTCCTCCTTCTCCTCCTCCTTCCTCCTCCTCCTCCTCCTCCTCCCCTCCTCCCCTCTCCCCCCACCCCTCCCCCCCCCTTCCCCCTGCGTTGTCATCTATGCTTCAATGCTCAGATACTATACATACAGCAGGCTAGCAGCAGCATCATAGACATCATCATCAACTCATCATCATCATCATCATCATCCTCATCAGCATAATCATCCTCATCATCATCAGCAGCAGCATCACCATCAGCATCATCACCGCCACCATCATCATCCTCCTTCTCCCCTCATCATCATCAGCATCACCAACATGATGAGCATCGTCAACGTCATCGTCATCGTCATCGTCATCATCATAATCAACATCATCATCCTCATCCTCATCATCCTCATCATCCTCATCATCATCATCATCATCATCATCATCATCATCATCATCATCATCATCATCATCATCATCATCGCCATCATCATCAGCAGCAGCATCAGCATCATCATCAGCATTATCATCATCATCCTCATCATCATCATCATCATCAGCATCATCATCAGCAGCATCATTACCACCACCATCATCATCATCATCATCCTTCTCCTCATCATCATCATCATCATCAGCATCATCATCAACATCATCATCAGCATCGTCATCATCGTCATCGTCATCAGTATTATCAGCATCATCATCATCAGCAGAAGCAGAAGCATCATCATCATGCTCATTATCATCCTCGTCATCACGACCACCACCATCACCACCACCACCATCAGTTTCACGACCACCACCATCACCACCACCACCATCAGTTTCATCAGCATCATCATCGTCATCATCATCATCAGCATCATCATCATCAACATCATCAGTATTATCAGCATCAGCATCAGCATCAGCAGCATGAGCATCATACGAATCATCAGCATCATAAGCATAATTATAATCCTCATCATCAGTATCACCATCAGTATCATCATCATCATCAACACCATCTTCATCATCATCATCATCATCATCATCATCATCATCATCATCATCTTCACCCTCACCATCATCATCAGCAGCAGCCGCATCGCCATCATAATCATCAGCATCAGCATCAGCATCATCGTCGTCATCATCAGCATCATCATTAGTATCATCATCATCATCATCATCATCATCATCATCATCAGCATCATCATCATCATCATCATCATCATCATCATCATCATCATCATCATCATCATCATCATCATCATCATCATCATCGTTATCATCACCATCACCAGCATCTCATCATCATCATCATCATCATCATCATGATCAGTGTCATTATCATGGAAATACTGATCATCATCATTATCATCATCGTCATCATCATCCTGGTCAGCATCATCAGCATCATCATCAGCACAATCACCATCAGCATCACCACCACCATCACCATCGTCATCATCACCATCAGCACCATCATGTTCATCGTCATCTTCATGTTCATCGTCAGCTTCATCTTGATATGCATCTTCATCAGCAGAGCCGTCATCATCATCAGAGACGGCAGCAGAAGCACAGTCGTCACCAGCCTCATCATTACCACCATCACCATCAGCATCATCACCATCACAATCACCATCACCGTCACCATCACCCTCACCCTCATCATCTGCATCTGCATCATCGTCATCATCATCATCATCATCATCATCATCATCATCATCATCATCATCATCCTCATCCTCATCCTCATCCTCATCCTCCTCATCATCATCATCAGCATCATCATCATCATCAGCAGCATCATCAGCATCAGCATCAGCATCAGCATCAGCATCAGCATCAGCCTCAGCATCATCATCATCATCATCATCATCATCATCATCATCATCATCATCATCATCATCATCATCATCATCATCATCATCATCATCATCATCGGCATCACCATCGTCAGCATCATGCGCATCATCGTCGTCGTCGTCGTCACCGTCGCCATCGTCAGCAGCACGCCACGAGGCCCCAGCGGTGCGGCCCGCCCGAGGCGGGGACCCGCCTCCACGCGGACGGTCGCCACCGGGGCCTGGCCCTCGAGGCTCGGGTCGCCCTTGTGGAGGAGGAGGAGGAGGCGGAGGACGAGGAGAAGGAGGAGGAGGAGGAGGAGGAGGAGGAGGAGAGGCGGTGGACGAGGAGGAGGAGGAGGAGGAGGAGGAGGAAGAGCAGAATGGAGGAGGAGGAGGAGGAGCAGGAGGAGAAGGAAGATCGAGAAGGAGAGTCGAGGAGGTCACGGGGGAGGAGGAGGAGGAGGAGGAGAGGAGGAGGAGAGGAGGAGGAGGAGGGAAAGAGGAGGAAGGAGATGGAGGAGGAGGGAGGAGAAGGAGGAGGAGGAGCAGGAGGAGGAGGTGGAGGAGGAGGAGGAAGAGGAGAGTGGAGGAGGAGGAGGAGGAGGAGGGAGGAAAATCGAGGAAGGGCGGAGTCGGGAGGCGCGGGGTAGGCGGAAGAGGAGGCAAGGAGAAGGAGGACGAGAAGGAGGAGGAGGGGGAGGAGGAGGAGGAGGAGGAGGAGGAGGAGAGGAGGAGGAGGAGGAGGAGGAGGAGGAGGAGGAGAGAGGAGGAGGAGGAGGAGGAGGAGGAGGGGGGGAGGAGCGAGGAGGAGGAGGAGGAGGAGGAGGAGGAGGAGGAGGAGGAGGAGGAGGAGGAGGAGGGCCACGTCCTCCTCATCCTCCTCCTATTCCTCCGTTGCGCCCCTCGGTGGGTGGGGCTACCAAGGCTTCCCCGTCGACCGCGCCAGCTCGGGAACGGGTCGCCAGGCCTATGGCGCTGGTCACAAAGCATCACGTGGAACCAGGCCTATGGCGCTGGTCACAAAGCATCACGTGGAACCTGCTCAACGGCATCATCAAATGCACGACTTGCTACCGTTTTGCGGAGACGCCGATATCTCACGGACGTCTTCTAATCGAAGGATTGCCAGCCGATTGCGGGAGAGGCAAGCATCATCGAGCTTGTTGGCGTATCTTGCTTCTGCAGTGTCTGCGGCGCTTGGAGTTCCGAGTCTAATCGGCCGTCGCCGAAGTTCCAGCAGCGATGCACTGTGCCAGAGAGTAGCAAAAAAATCCAGGTGGAAGGAGCTTGACATCATGTGGGAGCTCCTTAAGGGCGAGCGTGGCCATCTTAGGGGCTCTGTTGGCGTCCCCCTCGGGGCTCTTGTGGCACTCTTGGGGCACTCTCGAGGAGGAGGGGAGGGAGGGTGGCCGGTTGTTGCTTGGGCCCCAAGGGATCGGCTGTGTTTCCGCGGGCACGCCCTCTGAGTGTGGCTGCCGGGCGGAAGGCGCCGCCAGGATGCCCAAGCCTGACCAGCCCCGGCCGTCGCCGTGCGTCCGGGGAGGGGCGCGGGGGGGCTCTCGCGGGCCCCCTCGACGGACCGGCCACGCGGCGAGAGCGTCCGCTGCCGCGACGCGGGCCCAAGCCAGCTCCCTGGACAACACATTCTACTGCCCGCCCCCTCCCACCCCGCAGAGCGCCCGCAGACCCCGGGAGCCGTAGAGAGAGGAGGCCCTTGGGGAGGCCAGGCTAGTCCGACATCCTCCAAGGACGCGCGCAGGCGATCACAGCCGGGCACGCGAGATGGGAGGGCTCCGAGCCCAAAGAGCTCGACGCAAGGGGGCTCTGCCTGGGCCCGGCTCGGCGCGTGGCGAAGCACCGCGCAGATGCCAACCTGTGCGAGGGAGGGAGGGAGGAGGAAGGATGAGGATGAGGGAGGAGAGAGGAAGGGTGCGGGCAAGGAGGAGAGTGCGGATGAAGATGAGGAGGGAGGAAGAGGGAGGGAGGGGGGGAGGGAGGGAGGGATTGTGGGAGAATGAGGAGGAGCAGGAGGAGGAGGAGGAGGAGGAGGAGGAGGAGGAGGAGGAGGAGGAGTGAGGGGGAGGGGGAGGATGAGGAGGGGGAGGATGAGAGGAGTAGGAGGAGGAGGAGGAGGAGGAGGAGGACGAGGAGGAGGAGAAGGAGGAGGAGGAGGAGGAGGAGCAAGGCGGAGCGTCGCCGAGGGACAGTCTCTCCTTACGCATGCCCTCGCTCGCGCCTCCGCCGCGACCCCACTGCGAGATCCGTGGCGAGGCGGGCGGCCTGGGCTATCTGAAACGCCTCCTACGGCGCGGGGCGGTGGGCGGACCGCCTGCTGCGCGCATGGAGGAGACGATGCAGATGGAAGAAAATCACAAGCCTCCTGAGATGGGATGGCGTGCAGGGAAAGGGGGCAAGACGGGCAGGGACGGGCTCAGGGGCAGGAGGGGGACCATGCCGAGGGCCAGAGACCATGGCGACGAGCCAGTGGAAAGAGAAGCAGTGGATATGGTGTGATAGGCTATCTCGGCAAGCGCAGCCGAGCAGGCAGCCCCGATCGACGTCACGCAGTCGGGTGTCCGTGACCCATCCCCCAGTCCACGTGCGGAGTGCCGCGAGGCGCCAAGATGGGGGAGGAGGAGGAGCAAGGAGGAGGAGGAGGAGGGAGGAGGGGGGGAGGGGGAGGCCCAGTCCCCTCCCCTGACATCCGCCGACATGATCTGTTCCATCCGCGGCCCCAGCACTCCCGGCCCCTTCCCTGAAGGGTCGCGTTCTGCCCCGCGCCCGTCTCTGACGGTCCTGGGGCTCGAGCACGGGCCCCAGAGGCCACGATCAGGGAAGACCGCCTGGATCGACAAAGGACAGACGGCGGCGAGCGAAGGGGGGAAACGAGAAGGCGAAGGCCTGTTCAGAAGGCGGCGGGACTTCTCAGAAGCCCTCGCGCCTTCTGAGAAAATTGCTCTGTATTCGGGGAAGGCTTGAAAAACTTCTCAGAAGGCTGGGTGGCTTCCGAACCTTCTGAGAAGGTCTTCTCCTTCTCACTTCCCCCCATCGCTCGCCGCCGAAACAAATCGTGGGAGATATGGGCCTGCCGCTTTGGTGGGACGACGAAATGTTACAAAGGTTGTTCCTGCCCACGTACGGCTGCACACACATTGCGACGCCACCTCGACAAACAGTCCCCTGCATGCCAGTGTTGGGATCGAGCGAGCACCCCCCGTCCGGGAGGACAAAATAATGCAAGCCGACATTGAAATGTGGGGGGATTCCTCAGAGATCGATGGAATCTGATCCAAGTTGGCACGCTGTTTCTTAGAACGCTCAGATAACTCGCGAATTTGTTCCACCCACTGTAAACCCCCCAGGGGATGGCTCCCCGCGGCGGCCGCGGGCCTTCACAAAGTCCAGCGCGGTGTCCGCGCGGAACTCCGGCGGAGACGCCTCCCCGGACCAGAGCAGGCGGCCACCCCACGCGAGGTCGCGCCCAGCCCGCCCCCCCCCGACTCCCTGGAGAGAAGGAACTACAGTACGTCATCATGCCCAAGATCTCGCAGCGCAGCCTGGGCGCGAGCAGCCTGGGCGGCGAGTCAATCGGGGAGGGAGCACAGGGCTCGCAGGGCCCTCTTTGGGGGCCCGCACGCAGGGCCCTTTTGGGGCCCGAGAAGGGCCCTTTTTGGTGCCCTCCTCGTGCCCGCCGGGGCCCTTTTTGGGGGCCCGCGCGGGCACCTCTTCGGCGGCCCTCGCTGCCCCGCCCGCCCCCCTTCTCGCCCCCCCTCCCTGCGCGGCCTCCGCGCAGCTCGGCCGTCGTCCGCTACCGTCGATCCGGGGACCCGGAGACGTCTCCAACCGGAACGCCCCAGCGAGAGGAGCTGCCGAGACTGCGGCGCTGGATCCGGAGACCCCGAAGAGAGGTGCGGGCGAGAGCGTCGCGCAGCGAACTCGTGGGCAAGGCCGAGCGGGCTGGAGAAGTCGGCGTCGCCCGTCTCAAAACTCCCTGTCCCTGGGGCCCCTCTTGGCACCTCTCGGGGGCGGCCAAGGGGGGGGGGCGTCCAAGCGGAGGGGGAACAAGTCGTGGCCGGCGGCACGTGCGCGGCCCCGGGGGGGGGCCAGGGACGCGATGAAACCAGCCAGAAGAGGCGCCCTGAAATCGGGGGAGATGCCATGGCCCCCGCCCTGAGATCCACCCCCCCGCCCTAGTCATCAACCCCCTCTTGGCCGCCCCCGAGCCACACAAGACCCTCCCCGCGAAGTCGGCGCGGGCGGCCGCGGCCCGTGGCCGGGACCGCCTCGGCGCCGGCGGGGCCCCGCGAGGCCTCTGGGCCCTCGCCGCCGCGCCTCTCCTCTCGACCCTGCCAGCGCTCGGGGGCGCCCCCCCCCCCGTGCATTGTTGTCCCGGCCTCGCGCGCGCTTCCTCGCAGGAGGGGGCCCAGGATGCGATTCCATCTAGGGGCAAGGAAAGGCGACACCAGCACCACCAGGGCGAGGAGATGCGAGGAGAAAGGGAGGCCTCCCTGGTGGTGCGGTCCCCCCATCTCGCCCGAGACATCCCCAGCCGCCAGCTCGGGGAGGCATCGTGGACCTCCTCGCTGGAGGTGGCCCCCCTGGTGGAGTTGGCGTCGCTTCCCCCCCGGCCGAGCAATCCCTGAGATCCGACGCTGCGCAGGAGATGCAGCCGCGCGGAAGGCCAGCGCCCGAGCCCCAGACCCCAGCTTCCTGCAGCAGCCTCCGAGCTGGATCGGCCCGCGAGGGCCCCGGGGGCCCGAGGCCGGGCGCGACAGCGCCCGGTGTGGAAAAACCGCCGCGCCGAGATCTGAAGGATGGGAGGAAGGAGGATGGGAGGAGGGAGGAGGGAGGAGGGAGGAGGGAGGAGGGAGGAGGGAGGATGATCCCCGCCGAGCAAACATGTACACGTGTGGGCGATGCCAACCCAGACCCCCGACGTCGTGATGCTGTTCACACAACGTGAACCCCCAAAAGAGGCTGGGCCCACTCCCCGGGACTGGTTTTTCGTCCCGAGTCGCTTTTTGACGCAGGCTCTTGGCGCAGGCTATAACTTCCATGATCGTCTCACATATTCACACAAACACAGCAAGACAAAACAATGCAAAACAATTCAATGCAATACCTCACAAAAAACAAACCAAACAACAACAAACAAACAAAAACAAACAAACAAAAACAAACAAACAAACAAACAAACAAACAAACAAACAAACAAACAAACAAACAAACAAGCAAGCAAACAAACAAACAAACAAACAAACAAACAAACAAACAACAACAACAAAACACCCGCTGGAGGCGACGAGGCGGCGGCGAGGCAAAGCGGCGAGGCGGCGAGCGGCGCAGCGGCGAGGCGGCGAGGCGGAGAGGCCGCGGCAGGCCTCGTCGCCCACGCCGCCCTGCCGGCGGTGTGCCTCGCCGCCGGAGGGGGAGGGCGCTTCGTGGGCAGCACGGGGGGCAGCATCAACAGCAATTGGGCGTCGCTTCACGCAAGGAGCCGAACTCTGCGCACGGACGCTGTTTCTGGCCCCGCACTGAAAATCGCACAAGAAAGCGGATCCTGGTGCATACGGGATCCCGGTGTGTACATGTTGCGTTGCTTCCTCGGAAAACTGGGAAATTATATACGCCAAACCATCCCGATGTCGTCCCTGACCCTCAAAACGTCCCGGGATTGGAAAACAGCCCGCCACTGGTAATATAAATGCTCCAGTTGCCAATCACGGGGGGCGACAAAGTGGGGGGGGAGAAAGGTGCAATACTCGGGCTCTGAAGGCCCCCGTTGGGGCCCCAACAAGACGGCCCTGGAGCACCCCGAAAGGACCCGAAGTCGGCTCAGAGAGGCCCTCACGACGGTTTCCAAAGGCGTTACGGGCCAGGAATGCCCTAAGACTCCCAAAGAGGCCCCCGAGAAGCCCCAAAAGACCCCCAGGAGGCCCAAGGAGGCATCCCAGATGCCCCCAAAAAGCTCAAAGGAAGCTCCCAGGAGGCCCCAAGAGTGCCCACTGAGGCTCCCAAGATACCTCCTCCTCAACCTCCTCCTCCTCCTCCTCCTCCTCCTCCTCCTCCTCCTCCTCCTCCTCCTTCTTCTTCGTCTTCT